AGCTATAGGAGTAAGCAAGCTTGACATTTAAAACATGCTGATAGGTCTGAACCATGCTGGTCCAGATGACATATAAGAAAGCTGCCCAAGAACTCCCCATAACAGATGTATCATTTTAGAAGAGACTGGGAAGGCAGGGGAGAGGAAAGAGGAGGGAAAGGGTTGGAGGGCAATGTGGCATAAAATTTATCTGCATGCGAGGCTCCACAAAACATTCGCGGTTTGCCTTTCCAGGAATTCAAAAGTTGGAGGCTGTCAGGGATAATCAGTCCTTCCCATCACAGACACCCTGCGGTTCTCCTTAATAGCTCCCTTTTATGTGCCGCCAGTCTTCAAAAATATATTTAGAAAAGGCTTATTTAGGAGGAGGCATAAAATAAAATCCATGTTGCATTTGAGTATTACAAATGATTCCCGACTGCATTCTGTACTATTAGGCTTTCCGTAGAATTTCCATGCAAAGTAAAAAAAAATAAATAAATAAACTCTCAGCCAGCTCAAAAGAAACCAGCTTCTTCTACACAACCACTCACGGATATTGTGTGAAGGCAGATGTCCCTGGACACTGGGGTCCAGTAACACATCTTTGTTTTCCTTAGGAATATCAGGCAAAAATTATGCAACCTACTGAGTTGTCCTATGGAATATCCTGGGGCAAAGTATACATGCAAAGAAAAGAAAGACATTAATCTAAGCACTATTTGATTTTACCTATGCCCTTATGACATCCTCGTACTTAGATGACTTTGCAATCATTTCTCTCATCGTGGATGTTAACACGCCATTTGTTTGATATGAAAAATCAATTCCTGTAATATAGGGGAAAAACCAAATTCTACGTCTTAAATTACACTGTTTCTCCTCTTTTCTTTATAAGCCATGTCTCCCTTCTTCACAGAGTTCCCTTACCTTCAGTCCAGATGATCTCATCAATGGTCACTTTTATCTGGGATGATTGCCAGGTCTTCAGATGGCAGCATCAGAAGCAGTAAACACTTGACCTGATTTCATGTCCTTCTTTGATGGTTTGTCCTTTTGCACTGTGCTGACCTCTCTGAGGCAAGCGTGCTGAGACCTGGGGACCAGGTAACTCCTGGAGAGGCAAGGGACGAACGTGGCACTATTACATTGTTAAATTATTTTCCCTGCCTTGTCTCTTCATTCTTTCTGTACTTAAGGATGTGAAAGGTCAATTTAAACATTGATATATTGAGTTTTGGATTTTCCAGGCATTTCTATCCTTCTGGTCTCACTTTTGCCTGGGATCCTCTAGAAGGTTGTGAAAGTTCTCACATCACAATTAAAATCACTATTATCAGTTATTGTTGAAGAGCCCTTGGGTGACCAGCCACTTGATCCTTTTCATGGTGTGTCACCCACTTATTGTAATGACACTTTTCTAAAAGAAATGTCTGTTTATATTTGGAAAGAGAAAAACATTCATACAGAATTTTATTAAAACAAGAAAGATGTGCACTGTTACCATAACATTTTGGTGGGTTCATTTACTTATCTACACATTGGAACATTTTCTTCTTTGTGATTTTGGAAACGTATTTTGAAGTTCCATATTTTGATACCATCTCATTACCTTTTATGAAGGAAAAACAATCTTTATAAGCTGGTTCCATGTTATGAACAGTATTTTTTTATAATAGTGAGCTGTTGGATTGTAATATGTATCTGAAATGATATAAGGAAACTGGCTTACAAGATAAATTGACTAGGGGCATGTTTTCTTATTGGCGAGTGGTGAGGACTATAACACAGAATCATATAAAAGAAGTTAATTTGATAAAATTTTATATTAGCACCAGTGTTAATGTTAATGTTTTGGCTTATGAACACTTCCCTTAGCAAACCAAGATACCTTTGACACCACAAAATTAAGTGTAAAACATCTGTGTCTTGAAGACAATAAGCATTAGTTTTTCACAAGAAGCAAATGAGCAGGTTAGACTTCCCTAATGCCAGGTTAAACGAAAGCTTTTAAAAACTTGTATTGCGAGGACCTTTGCTATATCTGTCTATGTTTCACAAACCTTGCCTCCTAAAGCTTGATTTATCTATTAGGATGAGATTTTCATATGCTAACCAGGAGCTCATAAACCACTAATTCTTTCTCTAAAATACTTTGGTTATTCTATTTTACTCTCCTTTGTTCACAAGACAGCTTTTCTTTCAAAAATTGCACCCTTCTTTTCTCGGGTTTCAGTGTTCTGAGGATTAGAATACAAATGATCATTTACAAATTGAAGGTTAACACAGAAAAGCATTGTACTTGTGATGTGATGAGTAAAAACAAGTCACAAAAATAAGAACAAATAGCAGTATTATCCCATGGGAAAGAGCCTTCTGTATTGATCTATTATTTCCCAGCTTGAAATGTGCCACTATTGTAGTTCTACTTGATTATGAGCCTTTTTATCACTTCCCCTGGTTGATTCAACTTGAGTGTATCTGACATTTGCAAAGTTCCTCACATATTCTGCCGAGCAGCGGGGAAACCTTGTTAATGAAGAAATAACAGGCTGAGGATTTGAATAAATATTTAGCTGATTGAAAGGAGGTATACCGTTATTTATTTATTTATTTTAATGATGACAACTGAACTTACTAGAATGCTTTGCTTTTGTGTTAGCTGAAGACGGGTTCTCCTGGATTTCTGACTGCACCACAGGGCACTTTCATTTCCTGATTCTATTATAAACTAAGTGGCCACCTGAACCTACCAATGAACTTGTTCTATTGTGTTTTTCTATTTTTAATCCTGAAAGAGTAAACACATTTCTCATCAGATGTGTTCCAGACTGCCATACATTGGAGAGATTTATGAAGGTGCCATTGTGTTATTACAGAACCATTCATTTATAAATAAGTGTCCATTCTGAACGGGAACTATAAATGATAGCTGCCTTTTCATCATTGCAAAAATCTATATTATGAAATTATGTGTTTTTTTTTTTTAATACTTGCTACAGCAGCATGGAAATAATTTGGATTTTATGCCTTTTTAGATTGAGTTCTTAGTCCTAATGTATGATTCAAGTTCTGGTCTTAGAACCAAGGTGGTGTTTTATGTGACTCAAGCAGCAGCTGTGAGAAGGAACAGAATGGTCCCTTCAGGATTCCGGGATTAATAACAAAAGCTCTGTGAACCTGGCCTTGCTGTTTAGGGAAGCCTCTCTGGTGGACCTAGAGATCCAGAGGAACCTCCTCAGTTTTCTTCTGGAGCTTCCTATGAGGGCTGTTCTTGTAAGGCCTGTACTTGTCATTTCAGAGCATTTTTAGTGCATGTGATTTAGCGCCCTGTCCTGAGAATATTTGAGGTTATATTGGAAAAGAACACTCCCAATACCATAATCTTTGAAAACACTTCCTGAAACAGATGCATTAAGAGTGAAGGTGGGAAGAAACAAGTGGACTTGCTCATGAATGTTACTCCATAAATTTCAGTTCCTAGGTGTGTCACGGTGTCCAGGATGGTAACACATCAGGAATGGAAAGGAAACTTAGGAGTCATATAGAATCAGGTAATCTAAGAACACCAAGACTTGAAAGCCCCCTTGAATATTCTGGAAAAGAATCAGGGGCAGATGTTGGTTTTTCTAAGGAGTGTCTGTAAACTTTGCACAGCTGAGATTGTTGACAAGTCTTCATGGTGAGCCAAAATTTGCCTTCTCTCACTTTTACCAAACTCCTACTTCTGTCTTTTGGGCACAGACGCAGAAGTTATTCTCTGATTTGCTTAGAGTCCCCTACAAATACTCAAAAAGAGCAGTGCTGTCCTCTGGTCCCTGTGACTTAGGGTTTCTCACTAACTGCTCTTCCATGAGGATAAAGGGGAGAGTGAAAAGCAAGTGGTTTTCCTAGAGCATTGGAGTCGATAGATCTGTGTTCACATCTACTTCCTACACCCAGGAAATACATGCATTCATTATCTGTTTCATAAATGAGAAAACTGAAGCAAAGAAAATGTGTATTTTCCAGAGTCCCAGGGTTAGTATTTAGCAGAAGTAGGATTCGAATTTCATAATGTAACCCAGTGGCTTTAACTGCTATCAGTATAAGGAGAGAATAAGAGAGCAGTAAATAACAGAGGACCTTGAATGATAGAATAAACTCTTTGGGCTTATTCTGCCAACACTTATGAATGGTAGTAATGTTGTAATAATAATTTGTTGTATTTAATATCTGTATCTAGTGCAGTAGCTATTTTTTAATATTTAATTTTTAGTTGTAGTTGGACACAATGCCTTTATTTTTTATTTATTTTTATGTGGTGCTGAGGATCAAACCTAGGGCCTTGCATGTGCTAGGTGAACCCTCAACTGCTGAACCACAACCCCAGCCCTCTATTGCAATAACTATTAAGGAAATTTTTATCAAACATTTTTAGAACACAAGTTCTTCAGGATTTTAGTAGTTGTGCTAAAGATAAAAACACAAAAGGGTTTTGATTTTTAAATAAGTATGTGAAATAGCAAGTTTAAAAACCTAAGTGGGCTTCTTAAGTGTCATACTTATCAGAACCATTAATATGTTAATATTTATTTTTACCCACAATGACATAATATATTACGTAGAATTCTCAGACTTTTTGACAACTCATCCAACTTTCCTCCCTTTCATTTTCCCTTTTCCCCTCCCTCCTTCCTTCCTTCCCTCCAGAGAGAAAAACCTTGGAATATTCTACTCAGATGTGCTTTGAAGACATGAACAGACAATATCAACCTTAACTTCTGATCATCAACCTATTTAACCCGCTCTAGGTTCCCTACAAAGTGTTAGTTTCAGAACAGTATTGAAGTCAGCACGACTTTAGATTTTTTGAAAGTTACTTCACATAAAAGATCACACCTCAGTAGTCTTTCGAGCCTCTGCGGTGGACCAATTGGGAAGTATATCAGAGCAGGAGAGCTGCAGAAGTTAGCTGCATTGTCAGGACTGACATAAAAGACCAAGGGCAGGTCATTGTGACCAAAAGCCATCGCCTGGACTTCCTGCATGACAGTGTTGGAACACCGTGGTAGAAGGAATGGAGAGAAGGGGTGATTTTGAGACACATGGAAGATCACCAATGGGACTTAGTGAAGAAGGGCTATGGGAGGCAGATAGGGAAGAGCTTAGGTGGAAGCCAAGATATCAAAGATTGTTAGGTGTAAAGTATGATTGCTGATAGAAATATCTGGGTTGGGAAAGTCATATTAGATTTGGGGTTGGGACAAGGAGGGACAAGAGAAAAGAAAAACGTTTACTAAGCACTTACCACATGCTCAACATTTACCTTCCTTTAGCAAAACTGTTAAGAGGAAATCACATAGAACAAAAAGAAGAAGTTTCTCTGCAGGATAGGAGCTGGGGGAGGCTTGAAGTCTACCTCATTCTCTCTTGACTGTGGCCTTTTGGTGAGCTCTGGAAGCCCCCTAGCATTCCTCAGGGCACACTGAAAACATTATTGATGGATCCCAACCCAAGATGTTGAGTTTAAGGTGAAAACAAACCTCTTCAAATGATACATGTTTTACTGTGAGTTGAAATTTAAGAACTGAATTCTTAAAACAGTTTATATGACTCCAAATATGGAGCCATGTACTGATATTTCATATGTTGAACATTACCATTCCATAAGTACTCCAATAAATACTTTTCCTGAGAAAATTCTGTGTAGTAGCAAGTTTGGGTGAAGTGGCATTTTGATATTGACATATGAGATGTCTAATATTTAAAGAGACAAAATTCTTACATATAATGAATTCTTGCCCAATTTTGGTCAATGAGTGAAATATTTCTCCATTCTCATTGAATAAAACTCTTATAATGCAATGAATGATATTTTGCCATGGGAGGAAGATCATCTTAGAAAAAATCACATTCTTTTTATATAAGCTGAATTTTGAAAGTTTGAGTTACAAGGTTCTTACAAAGAAATGCTGCCTGCACAACTCAGATTCATTTCCAAGACAACATATTTGTAATATTAATGCCCAGTGGAAAACACAAACCCCTACTGAAGATTTTCAGTAAATGTTCCTTCCCCATTTTGTTTCTAATTCACTGAAACATCAGGAATTATGCCAGCATATATCAGTTACATTTGCAGAGTGTATAAATTTTATATGTAAATGAATTTAATAAACTGTCTTAGAGGATGCAAGGCCTTGTTGTTTAGTTTAATACTGATTCTGGGAAGTAAATTTGGAATTGTTGATGGATACTGTTCTTGGGTTCAATTATTGGCAGATGTTAACTGAACTACAAAAGCATCATTTGGCTACAGCAATCTGTTAGCCATGGGGATTATCAGATTAAAAATGGAAGTGCACTCATTACTGAATCAACATCATGTGTCAACAATGCTTACTGGGTTAGGCATCAATACTATGATTATTATCTTGCATGAAGAAAAATGACTGTCTTGATGCAACACAAGATGTTGAGAAAAAGTGTTAACTTTTCTCCTTTATCCTGTTCATAATCTTGGCTAGTGGAAATAATGTTTGGTCAGTATTTTTCTAGTCTTGTTAAGAGGCAATGTTACTGTAATTGAACACAACTGAGTCAGTTCTTAAAATAGCGATGTTTGTAGAACAGAGAAGGACAATTCATCAGGCCTTAATGGAAATATCCCTTGAGAATATCCAGTTTCCTTTCTTCCAAATTTGTGTTCATAAAGAAACTACTGCCTTTATAATTTGTTGTCCTGGAGGATTTATTTACAAGGGTTGAGTTTAAAAGTAGCTTCCATTCGTACACCAGGTAGGCCTGTCTTTGTAAACGACTAAATTTACATCTGGTTCTGAAAATTTCCTTTTAAAGTTTATTTATTGCTAGTCCTCTCTTTTAGCTTGCTTAACCATGGGTGTCCTTAACATGTTGAGTTTTAGTTCCCAAAATTCTAGGGCCACAGCCTGGGTTGTGCCTTTCTATGCAAAGCGCTCAGGGAAACAACTGGATGGTCTATTTTTCTGACGTTTTACAAGATGTGTCAGCACCATTTGTTTTATTTATGATTTTCTGAGAAAAGAAATGTAGATTTATGAGGTTTCTAATGTAAATCATACTGGGAGAGCTTTCTGACATTGTGCTTGGATCCTTTTATATTTGTGTGGTGGACTGTCCAGTTGCTTATATGTAGTTCCTCTCCCATGGAGCGTCTAGGCCAATGGAATATTAGCAAGTGTGATTCAAGAGGAGGCTTTTATCACCCTTGAACAATGGGCTTGTCCACTTGGATGAGCTGCTATTTCAGCGGCCACTTGCCATGCTGTATTGAAGCTTGTGCAAGATTTGAATAGTGATGGACCATGTAGAGAGAAGTCCTTGAGCATGAGAGGCCATCTTGGAAATCCCAGCTTTCGCCAGAGTCCTAACTGAAAATAAACATAGGAGAGAGCTCAGCTCCATCTTGTGTAAGAGAAAATCAATTGGGAAGAGTAGCCCAGTTGATCGCAATCAATCCACAGAATTGTGACAATTACTCTTTCAACCAGTAAATTTTGATGTGTGGTTTATTGCCCAGTGGCAGGTAACTGAAATTCTTTAGCCATAGCCATTGATAGCTTTATAAATGTATCATCATTGAATGCATAATGGAAATGATATCTTATTTCAGGGTATAATGGATAGTACTTATCCAAAGTCCCTTGAGCCCATTTTCCCCCTTGTTTTAGGCATGCATGAATGGTATTACACTGCCATCTGGTGGCAAAGATAAATGTTCTGGCTGTTCCATGGAACCTGGTGCATTTATCTAATACATTGTGAAACTGTTAAAATGCAGGAATGCACATATTAAACACAAAGAACCCCAGGGAACCCAAACTGACAAGGAAAAACACTTCCAAGGGGGAAAACAATGAAACTTACCCAAGTGGCCATGTAAGCAGGGTGCAAGGATTTGTTGCTTTGGTCAGTTGCTCTTAACCTCCTGATATGTGCTGTGGACTCCGGGGAGACACTATGCTATGGAAAGCCACTTAGCTTCTTTCTCATCCTTTTTCCTACAGCAAGGAAGAGGACATGATACTCAGAAGTGAAAAATGAACTTGGTTCTCTTTTCTTCAACCAGCGAGCGAGCCTGAAGTTGTGAAAAGTTCCTCTGCACTTTTAGAGGTTTACTAAACCTTTTTGATGTGGGCCCAGCCTGTTGTAGTGGGGTGGAAAGTGGGTAGGCAGCAGAAAATGCACGTTTTCAGGTGTTGCTCTCCTTTGATGTCGTTGCCTGTCTTTTGCAGACATCAGCAGGACCCATACTATCAGAGAGCACAGCAAAGACAGCAAGTTGCAGCTGAATGACTCAGCAAATGTGGTGGCCTCAGTCAGGCTTCCTGGCATTGAGGGCTTAACCTCAGCATGAGAGAGTTTATGAAGGATTAGATCTAGTGTTTTACCATTAGGATTATCCTTTTCTATTCAAGACAGATTAAAGGACTAACTCAGATAGTATTTGTATTTAAAAAAATAAGACCTATAATTCTTATGAATCACAGATTTCTTTCTGGAGATAATTTTGTGTCAAAGAAAATTGAATAATGATATTTTTGTTGTGTATTTTCCTTCAAGATACATCGCACAGCACCTACTGTCATAAGTAATGGGTGCATATGTATGTTCATGTTCAGTCTAAAAAACATGCAAAGAAAACTTTCTTTTAAAGTAAAATGATTTTTTTTTCTGAATTTATGTTGTTGAAAGAAACACTACTTATTTTATCTTTCCAGGTTGAAGTAAATTTCTCTTAACATAATATGTATTACAATAATAGCACCTAGTTAAGATTTCATTATGACATTTCAGTTCAATATAATACACAATCCCTGCCATGTTTTTCTAAAACATCACTCGGTATGAGAGATTCACATTAACTACAATTGCTGAAATGACTGATGTTTAAATCCAACGACAGTTTCTATCATTATTAAACTTCATTATGAAATAAAGTATGTGGGTGGCATTGTGGCTTGATGCTTTTGTGATTTCCTCTCTACCTTTTCAGTGTACTTTTCAGTTACATCAACTGAATCATTTCATCTTATAGATGTGAAGATGAAGGAAAGGAACAAAAACATGGCCATTAACCGAAGCAGTGCAAATGTGCATAGTTAATGGAAACCATTTTGACATTTTGTATTTGATTCCATGGTGTACCTACTCCAACAATTTCAATGGCATATTAGAACAAAATGCTACATTGTGCTCTTCACTAAGAATGCAAGTAATAGACTTCAAAAATTACCTTTTCACTGAAAGTATTATCTGCTGGAAATGAAGAAATGTTTTACATTATGAGAGGCTAACAGCAGCAAGAGGGGACCATGACGGCTGGCATGATAGCTCAGGCAGGGGAGGGACTTGACTCTTTACTCTCCAAAAAGCATTCTTTCAACCATTAAGCATGATCACAATATTTCTCTTCAATATTCTGGGTTATAATAATATGATTCCTAATTTTCTACATCTTCCAATTGCATTGTTACTAACCTAAGCACAGGCTTATGCTAGTTAAAATGGGGCTCAGATCTCTTGGTTATCATAGGACCAAAGTGAAAGGCCCCGTGAGTGCTTGTGAAGATGTAGTTTTAGCTCCGGGAAGATATTTCCTAATGAAACTAAGTAAAGAAATTTACAAAATCTGAATAAATTAGTATTTGGACTCCATTCTGCATACTCACAGGCAGGACATTCATAGGAGAAAATATAGCTCCTGTGGATGCCATGAAAGATAGGTTTATTGGGGGTATTTTGAGATAGCACATGGAGGAGGTTGCCTGCCTAGATGAGGGAGTAGCCCTAGTTGTGGGAGACATATATCCATTTTGTGTCACTCATTAAAACATTTTCAGAAAAAATATCTTATTTGATTCCTAGAATAGTTCTTTAAAGCAAACATTTTTTCCTTCTTTTTTTTTTCTTTCACATGAAAACTACAGCTCAGAGATAATATGTGATTTGTACAAGTTCACCTAGCTAAAAGAGACATAACCAGGAAGGCAATCCTTGTCTTGACTATCTGGGGAAAAATTAAAGGTGGGGAGTGAAAAGCAAAAATAAATTAGTTTTGTAAGACTAGGTGTAAGAATATGTTAGCATAAGGCTGATCAGGTTGAAGTCAGCTTGTGGATGGATGATGATTCAGGGCTGGAGCAGGGCTGCTCAAAGAAAAGGCAATGGCCGAACATGAAATTGATCTTGTTTGCAGCATCCAAACAGTGTAAGTTGATCGTCTACTAAGTGACCTGGTATCTGAAAGCAGGTTCTTTCAGAAAGAAACACCAAGCTCTGGCTTCCAGTTCCCCTGGCACCTGCTCTGTAGCTGACTGCTCTGATGTAATCATGCTGCCCACCTAGGGCAGAAGCTCAACTCTCACCTCCAGGAATCTCACTTTGATGCCCTGGTGATGTGAAGGGAAGGGGTAGCTACAGTGAAGCCGAAAACCTGTTTCCATAAAAGAAAAAAGTGTGATAAACTTTGAACAAACAAGACAAATGAGAGAAGATCCATTGCAACATCCTTTCCATTTCTTGGTGTATTTTCCCTTGCGATTCAGCTGCAGTCCAAGTTGGTCCATTTTAAGTGCCCAATAGACACTAGGAGTTCAGGTTGTCTCATGGTCCTGTCACTCAAGATGGGGCCTTCTATGAGCATGCCTCCTCCTCCCTGTGTATCTTGTAGTTACAAATTATTTGGGAGACTATGACCTGTGCTGGGGAAAATAAGAAGTCCAAATATTAAGAAAAAAAATCAATTTCTGTGATATTTAAGAGAAGCAAAATGATAAAGATCTACAAAAGCACCAGGTGCCAAACAACATTTTATAAGAAAATGAAAGACGGTCAGTTCACGAGTTGTATCTGTTTTAAGCATCCAGTAATGAAGTAATAGTATTAGCCTATTTAAAATTCCAAATCTTACCATCCTGGCCAATTCCTAAGAGGACTGACGTAAGTGTGTGTGTGTGTGTGTGTGTGTGTGTGTTTGTTTTGCATTTTGGAAGGGATGTATAGTGTAAAACTTTTTCTTTCTTTTTTTTTTAAAATATTTATTTATTTATTTTTAGTTTTCGGCAGACACAACATCTTTGTTTGTATGTGATGCTGAGGATCGAACCTGGGCCGCACACATGCCAGGCGAGCGCGCTACCGCTTAAGCCACATCCCCAGCCCCGAAACTTTTTCTTTAAAATGAAATTTTTTTCAACATTATTAATCATCAGGGAAACGTAAATCAAACCACAATGAGACATCATCTAGCCCCAGTTAGAATGACTCTTATCCAAAAGACAAAAAATAATATGCTACTGAAAATGTGAAAAAAGGAAAACTCTCTTCCACTGTTGGTGGTGATATAAATTAATGAAGCCATTGTGGAAAAGAATGTGGAGATTCCTCAAGACATTTAGCATGCCAAAATTACTCTAACACACAATTATGACACATATAGAAAAAATAGATGGAACTGGAGAGCATTATGTTAACTGAAAGAAGCCAGACTTAGAAAGTCAAGGGTCATTGTTTTCTCTCATGTGGAAGTTAGAGAGGAAAAAGAGCAAAAGAGATCTCATAAGAATAGAAGGGAGACCAGTGGGGTAGAGAGAAAAAGATCAGGGAAGGCAGGAGGCGGGAGGGCAAGGGAAATGAAATGGACTAAATCATGCTATGTGCATGTACAGATATGCCACAGTGAAACCAACTATTCTGTATAATTATTATCCATCAATAAAAACAACTACTTTAGAGCAATCATCTAGCTGCATCATGTTAATGGCACATAAAATGTGCTCTATACAGACCCACCAGTGAGATTCCTTTCTTAAGTGTCTTCATTTCAGAGGAAATGTATTAATAACTACCTCATGTGTCCCATTTAGATGGCATAGAGTTATGTGTCCAGCTGTAACATATCAGCAAATTCTGTTTTTCAAATTGGACATTCCTTCAGTTTTGAAGTCAAGTCTCCAGAGAGGGCAAGCTCTAGATTCTCTATGAAGAAGCAATTTCTGATGTCAAGGTTGAGTTATTTTAAAGACCCATTCTCAAGACAAGAGCCTCTGCCAACAACTAAAGAGCCAGTGCTTCTGGAGAACTGGGGATTCCTTAGCCAATTGAGCAAGTGGCTCATTGCAGAAGGAATGTGGGGTCCAGGCACTCAGCCAGGGAAGGGTGGTGGTGCTGTCAGGAAGAATAACTCAGCAAATTACCAAGGGCCAGGAGAGTTGTGTGCCTGTTTGCTTCATGTTGGCACCAGCGTGTTGGGGAGAAGGTGGAAGGGCCATGCTCATGGTGGTCTTCAGAAACTCAGACCCAAGCACATCAGACATCAAGTGAGGGGGCACAGACAAATTACAATGATGTGTGCTTAGTGATGTTGGGCTTAGAGGCTTCCAGAGCATTGACAGTTGTTTTTGGCTCTTGTTGCCTAAGGGTCAGAAAAATACAAAGCCTCAGACACCCTGGTGAACCATCCCCACTATTGATCCATTTATAAAATGTGAGCTGAGGAAACTGAAGCTTCACATGATCCTGTACTTACACATGGAGGAGAGGGAATCAGTTGGAAGAGTTATTTCTGGAATAATTTTCTTGGAATTGCTCACAAGGAGAACTCTAACGTTTGTAGGGTGCTGTCTTTCAGGAGCCATGCAAGTGCTGGGGCTACAGAAAGTATATCAGGGTCTCAGTTGTCCCAAGTGTAGGTGATGAGCTTTGCTCTTGATTGTCTGGGTGCCACCTGTTGCTTGTCTGAGCCAGGTGGACAGGTGAATAGACAGAATAGAAGGAAAGGTCCTATGTAAGCTTTTGCTTCTTTGTGGAAGCAGACAATCATAATTCTCACCGTAATTGTTATCGGATAGACATACTTCTTTTGATTGCCCACACATGTGCCATGGTATACCTACCACTTATATTTAGACAGCTCCCTACTAAGGAACCAAAGTGGAAACTGCTGTGAAATGGCAGTTGAGTAAAACATACTCTAGAAAAAATCTGTCACTGAATTTCAGAGAAATTTCTGTCTGAAACTATATAGTTTTAACCTAAACTGTAAAATAGAAAATGGTAACTTAAACCAATAAGCCATGTCTGGAGATCTAGAAATATACATGGGCAACTGAATACAATGAGAAAGAACTGCAGAAAGGATGATCACCTGACTCATGAGTTGTTAAGATAGACAATGATGCCAGGTGGTGCCTCGGTGCATAATAACGAGAATAGTATGTCAAAGCACAGCAATCAATACCAAAGAGAAATCAACACACATTCAACATCATCCTCACAGTGTTAAGCTGATTATCCACTTCAAGTAATAGAGGCAGTAAGATGAGTGTGTTGAGAAGAGTTTATTATTCTCTTTTGGAATGCAGAGCTAGGTAGGAAGGTTAACTGGTGACTTACGTTGCTCATCATCACCCACCTCAGTCACAGACTTCTAAGGAGAGAGGTGCCTTTTTCAATGATTAATGTCTATATCTCTTTATCTTTTAACTATGCTATCAGTGTAATATAGAGTAACTTATGATTTTTTTCAGTTGCAAACATATATATGTCAATGCACAACCCACACATAAAAACATAGAGACACACATAGAAATACACACATGCACATCACTTACATCACTTGAAGGTCTCAGGGCCGTGAAACTTCAAGCAGATCCTTATAAAATGGACTCTCCTGTGTTACATCGAAGGAGACTTGTACTCCAGCCAAAGAGCAAGGGCTTATGTAAACCCACAGGGAGGACACTTTCTGGGTCTCTATGGGAATTAGAGAATGCTGGTTTCCCTCAAAGCTTTGGAGACAACCTACGGTGAAACATGGGATTAATTCATCTGTCTCATCACCAATATGAAAACCTCACATCTCGAATCTGTTAATTGAAATCCTTTGTTTCTAACATTCTGAGTTAGCTCCCTTCATGGAGAGAAGGAAAGTATTATAACATGACTGTCTCAACTTTCTCTTCACAAAACATACACAAAACATAGAGTCCTCAGTTCCTTTAACATCCTTCAGAAAAATAGTTCTTCAAGATTTTAATGTGAATCTTTTCTAAACCCCCAAACCTTCATATTCCATCCCACTTTCAACAGCTATTTTAAGTTATACCATCTCAACAGACCATTGCCCTAAGATATGCCAATTCCTCATTTCTTTGAACTTCTCATGGTACCTCTTTTTTTAGACCTGTTGAGCACAGAGTGGAGGTTAACGGTGCAGCCTCTGGGGTTAGCTGATCTGGGTTTGAACGCTGGCTCGGCCACTCCATCTGGACAAGTTGCAGTAGTGTGTGTAAGCTTCATATGCTCTCTCTGTAGATGAGAGCATTCGTATCATCTTTCATCTAGGGAGGTTTGAGGATTGAAAGATCAAATGCAGGTGAGCATTCAAGTCAAGGTACATGATAAAAAAAATAGCTTTCATTTCCCCTGCATATGTATCGCATTTCTGTATCGCCTAAACTTTCTTATGCATATATATGTTATAGAGGTTGTTCTCTCGTACATAGGCAGGAACCCAAACATGCACTTAATGGGACAGACATGACCAAGGATGTGGTCATGAAGGATGTGGCACCTTCAAGAAAAGGAATGTACCTGTGAGGATGAAAACCAAACAGTCAAACTTGGTCTAAAGGCAACTTTAAATAGAGATCATTGGACTTTTCTTAAATGGTTCCTTGGCCCAGATGCCCAAGGTTTTTACCTAAGACTTAGGATAAATGGGCTCCGCTGAATAGCTCATAAAAATAAAAGGAGTGTGTCAAGGAAATTTCTGTAAAATGAAGCTAGATGTCAGCATTATTTTGTGCTTAGGCTGCAGAAGGATTCTACTGGGTCGAGGATATTTTCTCATCTAGTTTACTGAAGTACCTGTTATTTTAGACCAATTTAATCTTTATACTTCCAATGTTCAGTCCCCAGCCCATTTTCCCTGATAGTCTTCTGTAACAATCCAGGCATCTTACTAAAGATGTATCTCTTGCAGTGAGCTATGCTTAACAAAATGAAAATAGTGTTTTGGACTGAATTGTGGCCCCCAGACCCAAACCCATTCATGCACATGTCCAGTAGAAAGGACTCTCTATCACATACAGTTTGCCATAAGAAGAGGGGAGGCCACAACCGTCTCTGGGTCTCAGGGACCTTGATGCTGATGGTGCTTTCTATACTGTGGCATGAGTACATTTTAAAGAATTGAATGGGATTCTTGTGGCCACACAGGGCACATAGGAGACATACCACATGGTATCCAGGAGAAGCAGATTTCCCAGCACTCTTTTGATACCACAGCAGAACACAAGCATTTCCTTAATTAGATGGAGGGCTGTAAGGTAGGCTGGGATGGTTGTGTTCTATGGAAGGATGTTCATCTGGAAAAGGATTGCTGTCTTGATGTTGTGTACGGTCTGAGTTTATGAAGCTCCAGGCAAAGTGGATTATACATTTTTTATACAACTGGGTTTTAAATCCCTTGAGGACTGAGCCTACCTTACCATCTGTTATTAGTATATTCGGGTTGCCATAACAAAATACCAGTGACCAGGATGCTTAAACAACTGAAATTTATTCTCATTCAGTTCTGGAGGCTGGAAGTCCAAGATCATACATGATGTTGAGCTGTTTCTCCTGACGCCTCTCTCCTTGCTTGAAAACAGCTGTTTTTTTCACAGTGTCCACACAAGGCATATTCTCTGTGCACACACTCTTGGCTTTCCTTGTTGTTCCTATATCAGTCGTATTGGATTGTGGCATCGCCCTTTGTACCTCATTTAACCTGAGTAACCTCAGTAAAAGACCTGTCTCCAAGAATAGAGTTTATGGCTTTAACACCAAGATTTTGGGGGAGTCAATTTAATCCATAACACCATTTTCACTTTTCATTGCAGACTCACCACAGGGGATACATCTTTATAAGAAGTTCGGATTGTTTTAATAGATCATCAGTGGAAATGAAAATGGGTGGGGAACTGAAAGTATGAAGATTAAATTAGCCTAAAATAACACGGTGCCTGGCCTATCGGACATTCCATCAGTTCTCACTAGAACAGTCACCCAATTTGGAATAGCCAAGCTGAAAGGAATTTTCATAGGATATTTAGAAAGCCCCCAGAAGATGAAATAATGGAGCTATTTTATTCTTTCAGTGAACTGATTGAGAAAGGTATTAAGAAACAACAAAATTAAGGCACATTTGACTGATGGCAGAGTATAAGAGTTGACCCAAGAGGCCCCAGAAAATTAGTTAGACACACAATTCTAATTCTCAATGTATCACAAATCAGCCACTTGAAAACAAAAACAATGAATGGTATGAAATGTACATTGTACCCATTGATTTTTATGATTTTTATGTTCTAGAGATATTCATTTTACATGGAGAATATAATCCGAGGATATAATTCAAAGATGTTCTCTGTAGCATTATTTATAAAGTGGTAAAGCCATCAAACCATTTCTTTGATGTTTGGCCCATGGTTTAGTAACACTATGATATATCATTATGATATAACCACATTGTGGTCAATTATACAATTTTGAAAAATGATGTTTATAAAATATTTGTACTAATATCCAAAGTGATGAAGCCATCATTTTAGGGGAGGTGTTCCAGAATTAAAAACAACACAATGAAATACACACACACATACACACACATTTGTGTAGAATCAGAGCTATGTAAAATTTTCATTAGAAAGCCTAGAAGAATATAGCCAAAATTTAAGAATGATTATCTTCAGGTGGTGAGACTATGAATATTTTTACATTATTTTGTCCTTTGTCAATATTGTAAATAATGAGCATGTGAATCAGTATTATAAAATGAATTAAAATTATATAAGCTTTATTGATAGAATATATGTATATATTACATAGCTAAATTACTCCACTAAGTGGTTGTTATCTATTTTATTCCCCATCAACCATGCATGAAAGCCCACTTCCTACAGCCTCAGTTTAGGGATCATATTTTAACTCATTTTTTAATTCCTTCTCCTATAGCAATCTAGATGGTGCCTACCACCTTGTCGAATGAATGCATGGATCTCCTAAGGTATTTTTTTCCATCAGTATTTTCCCCTTCATGCTCACAGCCCATGCCCTCATATTCCTGTCTTAGATTTTTTTTTTCCAGCTGCTCCTAACTAATCTCCATACAACTCATTTCCTTTCCTCCAAGTGCTCAGGCAACCTGTTTTGTTTCCTAAGTAACTGAGACTGAATCTTAGTTTCTTAATTTTTTTTAAAAAATAAAAGGATGAAAAAGTTGTTAATAGCTTGAAAGACACCAGGCAGCGGAGGGGAGTGTAAAGATATTTGACTTGCTTCCCTGTGAGACTCTATCCACCAGAGCCATGCAGACATGCCTTCTATGGAAGATGTAAAATAAAAAAAAAGAGAAAGAAAATGAACCATTTTCATGCCTACGGGACAGGAAAGAAGGTAACGATAAGTAAAAGATAGTCTCTGAAGAAATAAAGTAAATCAAGATTACAAACCTCTTTTCTCTCCTTCTCCACAGAATACACTCTTGGTTCCTTTATCCTGCAATAATGTGGCACAGATGCTCTGGAATACTATGAGATAGGAGACAAGAATATGAACAATGAGCTGAATTTTTTTTTCTCAGCTCTTCTAAAATTGGTCTTCAGCAAAGTGAAAAGGAAGGTTTGATTGCTACATCTGAGTATCTCTCTAGAATTCAAACCAAGACTTAACTTCCTTCTAACAAAACTCACCTAAAAAATGAAAAATCACAGCTCACTTTTGCTCGTCCTTTTAAGTAACATTATAATGAACTTCATTGAAATTTGAGGTGACTAGGTGAAGCGTTAATTCTAAACAGGTAACAACATTAGGGAATTAAATCACCTGGAATTTTTAGCCCCCACCATACATTGGATAGAATTTGAGAGTAGGAAAGATTACAGAGTTTGCTTTGGAGACTTTGGTGTGGTTGCTATGACAACAAAACTTTTGGGCATTGTAGTCTACATGGTATCACAAAATGACAGATGGCCCATTATGGAACTGTACATATTTGGAGATGAAAAGAAAATACATCACTCTGAAGCCCATTCATTGTGCTGCTGTAGGAGAGTTGGGGTATGATAACTGAGTGGGGTGAGAGTCAACAACCAGAAAGGGAAGGTTAAAATAAAACTTTATTCATCTTCAAAGCATGTCAACTGACTTGAAGACTGCTTATAGATCACTGTCTCTTCCCAGCCACATGGAGGATTCCACCCTATCAGGTGTTTATTTGGCACTGTTAGTGCAAGTTAGAAACTTCCTCTATTATAACTGCAGTTAGGAGGCTAATGTAAAACTGATTAAAGAAAGGAGGGTAAAACTCTTATGTAAGTCCAAATGGGAAGGATTGGCTTATTTTGCCTCCTTTGTGTGGTTTTGACAGTGTTCTAGGGGAGACAAATAATGGAATGGCTAGCAAGTGTATGTTCCCTTGTAGTTCTAAATCATAAAAGATTGAAATTAGAGGTCGAATTGCATAAGATAACAAATACAACATGTGATATGCAGGGCTGAGCAATTATGGTCCTTAAAATCATCAATGCCCATTCAAGGAATAAATTTAACTGAAACTATTGTGAAAGGCTTTGCAATTCTGCCTAAGCTGGCAAACTCAGTAGGAGCAAAACACTGTGATATATCTGCCAGATGACACTCTTTATTGCTAAAAATATTAATATTCAGACATTCAAGTGATAGTCTTTTGTGACTCTGATCATTTTCAGGATGTCTGTAGAAGCTCTCTCTCTCTCAACATATCTATCCATCATCTATCAATCACTATCTATCTATCAATTTATCTCCATCTATGCTGTTTATTTGTAAACAACTGCAAAAACTCAATAATGAATGGGTCTTAAGTCATGCCACAGACTATATGTCAATGGAACGGAACATATTTCACCTATCCTCAAATATATCACAGGAGGTGATGCAGAAGGAAATTCTCTGTGGTCTCCAAGAGTACCCTCAAGAAAAAAAGTTTTAGTGGAAAAGTTTGACTTTTACAAGTCAAAGTTTCCCAAAATAGCTGATGCCTTAGGAGACAGTGAACTCCCTTTTATTACAAGTATCATGCATTAGTGTTTGGCCTCATGGTTGACATGTTGTCAAGAAGACTTAATTATCAGATGGAAGCTTTGGCTAAATGGCTGCAAGGCTCTTCCAAGAGGCCACTATTTGGACCCATTCTTCTCTCCTCTCTGAGGTGGGCATGTGCTGCTTATTAAACTCCTGAACCATGAAG